GATACAACACGGCCACTCATACTGTATATATTACCAAAAAGATAAACGTACAGGCAGTAACAAAGAAAGTATAGTATACCTCATCTCTTGATGTCTTTATCTTAGTAAATGTTGGGGTTTCTCCTCTCTGGTACACATATCCAGTCACCCTGAAGTAGTACATGGTGTCTGGCTCAAGATTATCAATCACACAAGAAGAACCATAGCAGGCTTTCTTCATATTCAACTCATCTTTCAGTTTTCCGTAATCCACTTGTACTTTTTTGGATGGAACCGAGTGCTCTGGTTTCACGAACTTCAGAAGTATTTCTGTGAAACTCATGGTTCTTGCTTGTACTTCAATAGAAAGCGAGGGAGCTGTCGAAAAATGTGAAAGTCATTTGGAAAGTTTTTTTTTTTTTTTTTTGGTTCTACATTAAGCACTTAATAAACAGCACCTACTCTAAAAAACGGAGCAAATAAAAACTCATTGTTCTCCAACAAACTGAACAGTATCCAACCCGAATTTCTAAAATCCGCACTTCCTGATTGAAGTGAAGCGACCAGACGATACTTTCTAACTCCGGTACGCAGTCCATTGTCCTAGTGACGTAAGGCATATTACATCGAAGGGCGCTCGTGGAAAAAGGGATTGTTAAGTTACGAAACAAATTGAAAAACAAGTGGAAAGGTATATGAGAAAATATGAATAAGTTACTTACTCGCCTAAATTCGGTCCGGATAGAGGGAAACCCTTGCGTTTACTTAAAACTTCGGGCACAGTTTTTCCCTATCAGGACCTTATGACCTGTTAATAATATATCTATTTTCTTGGCATGGTTCAATGGAAAGGTACAAATTTTAGRCTTAGGGAATAGGGAGTGGAGGGGTTGGGGGAATTATTATTTTTTGTTTAAAAAATATTTTGTTTTTAACTTATTATACAACTTAATTTTTTTACTTACTCTTGACTATTTTGCAGTGTTTTCTTCCCCAGTCAGGATACTCTCCTTTACTGGTAAAGGCAGACATCTTAACACAGTACTCAGTGTATGACTTTAGTCCAGTCACCATCGTACTGGTCACATCACCTCCGGTAACCACAAACACTTCCCATTTGTTTCTAGGGTACAGCAGTTCTTTGTAGTATATTTTATAGCCTCTGAAGATACCGTTCCGATGATTTTCTGGTATGGATGACCACATGACCTTCATGGTATCATATCTAACTGGATAGATGTCAGTGACGACTGGTGCTGTGTCAGGTACTGAAGACAAAATGCGCAATAAACAAATATAAAATTCAAATATTCAATCAAAATAGAACCTTTAAAAAGCCGTATCTCTTTCGCTTGTGTAATTAGATTTTGGATCTAATCAGTTTTAAGGTTCTTTTCCTCCACAAGTTCACAGGGCGAAAGAGATACTACTTTTTAAAAGTCAGCTAAGATGTCTCTACTTTATTTCACATTTTGACGATTTTATTGAGCTTAAAGTATCACCATACATGTTCTTATAACATGACACCATAGAAACTTAACTTGAGCTACCTGTGCTTTTGTGAATGTGGCTAGTTTTATATCAAGCAGGGACCCTGTGCTGTACAGGGACTTACGGGCGGACATGAAGTATTTCCGAGAAATAAATGTGCACCCCGCTTACCATCTTCGCCAGTCATTGCCATAGTTTCAATCGTTTTTTCACCACTGGATAACATCACAGTCAAAGTAACACGGTAATTTGCGAACTCCTTCAAACCAGTTAAAGTCTTGGTTGTGACAGTCTTTGGCACTTTTATTCTCCACATTCCTTTGTCTGTATAGCCATACTAAAATAGAAAGTACTTATACTTAAAATGCGTGAAGATCATTGTCTTTACATAAGTTTTAGATGGTTGAAATTTAAAATTTGCATTAATTTTCAAAACAAAAAACCTTTGTTGGTTTAATTTGAAGAATACTTTTTAAGAGGCAATGTCTGTAAAAATCAAACATAATCGAAAATCCGTGGCCAAGTTGAAAAAATCGATTTTTTTCATATTTGGTTCAAAGATGTGGAATACCATTCCAATAAACGTACTGATGTTCATTTTGAATAATTTCACTTTTATTTTGAGAAAATCGTGA